CTTTAGATAGCAGCCCCAGCTGGTTTGCTCAGTGGATAGAGCATCAGCCCACAAACTGAAGGGTCCCGGTTTCGATTCTGGTCAAGGGCATGTACCTCGGTTACAGGCTTGATCCCCTGTCATAGTTGGGGCACATGCTGGAGGCAGCCAAATGATGTTTCTCTCTCACATTGAAGTTTCTCTCTGCCTGTCGCCCTACTTTCCACTCTCTCTGAAAATCAATGCAAAAACATCCTCAGGTGAGGATTAGCAAAAAAATAAATAAATTTGGATAGCATTATACATATTGTTTGGAAGCTGGTTTCTCCTTTTAGTTTATTGTGAACAGTTTTCCAAGTAGTTAATATTTAGACTTTAATGTCTGCGGGTCATACCATGAATGTTCTCACATATATGACATTTTCTACTTAACCTGGCTCTTAGAGTTGGAAAGCTGAGTTTGGTTTCCAATTTTTCTCTATTATATAAATACTAGAGGCCCGGTGCACAAAATCCATGCATGGGGAGGGGGGTGTCCCTCAGCCTGGCCTGCACCTTCTCTAATCTGGTAATCTGGGACTGCTGGCTCCTAACCACTCACCTGCCTACCTGCCTGATCACCCCTGACCCCTCTGCCAGCCTGCCTGCCTGATAGCCCCTAACTGCTCACCTACCTGCCTGCTGCCTGCCTGGTCGCCCCTAACCACTCTGCCTGCCTGCCTACCTGCCTGATGCCCCTAACTGCTCCCCTGCCAGCTTGATCACCCCTAACCACTCTCCCCTTCCGGCCTGATTACCCTTAACTGCTCTCCACTGCCTCCTACCTGCCTGATCGCCCGTAACTGCCTCTGCCTTGGCCCCCACCACTGTGGCTTTGTCTGGAAGGACGTCCGGAAGACGTCCTGTCTATCCAATCTAATTAGCATATTTCCCTTTTATTAGTATAGATAGAGTTGTAAATAATTTTTAAAATAATGATCTGCATTCATTCCTAGTTAAGGTAAATGCCTAGATATGAAATTGCTGTGTTCAACTATATCCATATCACTAAGTGTACCCACAGAACATTTGCACCAAGGTTCATTCACCAGCAGTGTACAAAAGTGTATTTCCCAGCACAGTCACGGACGCAGTACATGACCTTCCCCACCTTTGCCAACATTGATGGGCAGAAATGTTGTCTAAACACTGTTTTCACTTATTATTGTAAATTAGGAGTACTGTTAAACAATTTCTATATGAATTATTCAGCCATTGTATTTCTACTTTGATGAATGTTTTATTTGTGCCTTTTTGCACATTTTCACTGAGATATTTATCTTTTCACTAAATTCCTTGGTATACTAAGGATATTAAGTTTCCTTATTTTCCATTTTTACTTGCCTTTTCATTTTCTTTGTTGTTTGGGGGTATTTTTTCAATGCAATTTTTTTTTTATGTTGTCAGTGCATAAATCTTTTCTCCTTTGATTACTTCTTTTGCAATTATAATTAAAACAGCCTCTCCACCTCCAAGTGCAGATAAATCCTACCTATTTTTATACTAATTCCTTTATTATTTTGTGTTTTACGTGAATTCTCCAATCCCTCTGAAATTTACTTTGGTACATATTTTGTCTTTAGCTTTGTTCTCTTTTCTTTCCAAGATCCTGGAAATTTTAACTTCACACCCCGCCTGTTCATCCTCAGCAGTTCTTCTGGGGATTTCTTGGCCACGGAGTTCATGTATCCTGCCCGAGCCCCCTCTGTGGTCAATTCCATGCCCTTCCTGCAGGAAGATCTGTATAGTGCACCGCAGCCAGGTACGGCCCCCAGAGGGCAGTGGTCATGGGAGCTGCAGAAGGCTTCCAAAAAGCCTTTCCATTTCCCCTTTTCACTTATTAGGCAGTTTTTATTTGCCAAGTACTCTGCTAGAACATTTTTTTATATCATCTCATTTAATCTTCATACCTACCGCAAAAGAAAAGTGGCATCCACCACATGTATAAGAACTTGGTTACTTAACTCGCCCGAACACATCTGTTGGAAAAGGTTGAGTACAGCAGTATTGGGCCCCGTGTCCACGTCTCTCCCTTTTATCCCTGGAGCCCCCAGCAGACTTCTGCCTATATCCCTTTAGCTAGAGCTCTGTCACATAGCCACCCCAGATGCAAGGGAGCCTGAGAAAGCAAGTGGCCAAGGGGCAGGAAATTGGGAGTATTTGTTGAATTAGGCAAAGAACAGTATCCGCCGTATCAAGGCTGCACAGCAGAGCCATAGCTCTCGCCCAAGCTGAGGTTTGTTTCTACTCGACCACCACCTCAAGGCAGGACCTCTGTGCTCTCGTTCTGGTTGGGACAGTCACAGTCACCGCAGACTGGGCTGTGTTTATAGACCTCTCTGCCCTCCCTGCAGTCCAGCCCAAGGTCGGCCACCCCTGCCTCATGGCTTCTCCCCTCTCCCATAACAAGAGCCTGGAACCACTGGCAGCCTAGGTCACCATGTTAAAAGCTTGATAAGTATACACGTCATACTGTGGGATATATTAGCAAGGATCTTTTAAAAAGGGAGGCTGCTCCCCACCCCCTTCATCCTCTGGCTCAGGATGGGTTACTAATCTCCACTTGGCTTTTCAAGTGTATGGTTTTTACAGAATCCTGGACTCAGAGCTAGCTTACCTAGCAAGTGAGGGCCCTAGGCCATGTGGAGTAAGAGCAGGCTGATGGTTTGATGAAGAGAAAAAGTGAGGAACACCATTTTTAGCGCTCATTCCTCTCTAAAAGAACCATGAATGTACATCACCTGCAAAGCAGTCATACACAGGCTGAACTCAGGCCCAGGGCAAGCATGAAATACTCTCCAGTTGTTCATGTTCTCAAGAGATAAAAGGTACTAACACCCCTTGAGTGGCATGTGCATTACCCCTTCCACTCTTAGCAGCCTGTGGACTACCAGAGGCCCACTGGTAGGGTCTGCAGTTGACCCAAGGGAGAAGGAACTGGAGGAGAGAGGAGGAGAGGGAAAGAAAGTACCTGCACCATCAGTGCCACCTCTGCCTAGAGGCCCTTTCCCCTCCTCCTGGATGTACAACCGAGGGGATTCCCCACCTGGCAGAGGCAGGCTGGAGGGAAGCACCTGCTAGGCTGGGGAAGAAGGGCCTGGAAGGAGCTTCTGAGGGTCTGGTCTGTCCTCGCCCTCACAGCGCTTTTTCTTGTGGACAATCACCATGAGGTGTACCTCTGGCAAGGCTGGTGGCCCATTGAGAACAAGATCACCGGTTCCGCCCGCATTCGCTGGGCCTCGGATCGAAAGAGCGCCATGGAGACCGTGCTCCAGTACTGCAGAGGTGAGGCGTCTGCAGGAAGGGGGTTGGGGCCGGGGCCAGCCAGGTACCCCTGGGGGATGGTGACCAGCATTGTTCAGAAGCTAGTGCCCAGCTGGTTCTCTGCAGACTTGGTCAGCGTCCCAGACCAGGCCTTCCCTTTCTGCATGTGCCAGCCAGCTTTGATGAAGCCTGGCAGACAGTGATAAAACCAGTTTTCTTTGCCTTTAACTTTTGAGGCTTATTAATTTTCAGATTCATGTATTCTCAACTGCCAGCACGAATGAGATTTCGTTTTTCTTTTTTATATTATAAGCCATTTAACTTGTTGCCCTGGATATTAGAGGCTGTACAGTTATCCCTTGAACAACAAGGTTTGAGCTGCAAAGTCCAGTTTTACCTAGATTTTTTTCAATAATTATATAGTTGGCCCTCCATATCCATAGTTTTCATATCCAGGAATTTAACTAACTGCAGATCAAAAAGTATTTTTGATCCATAGTTGGAAATCTGAGGATGCCAACTACATGCATTGTTCTACACCATTTTATTTAAAATAGGAGCCTGAAGCATCCATGGATTATGGGACCTGTGGGGCATCCTGGCACCAATACCCTGTGGATATTAAGGGGCAACTAAGTTTTGGGGGAGTCAAAAGTTACATGTGGATTTTTTTTTATCCACGTAGGGTGTTTGTACCCCTAGCCCCCTGTGTTGATCAGGGTCACCTACATTGTGGAATGCCCTGGACTGGTTAAAACCTTTCTGCACTCAATTATGACACTCTCCACACACGGCATTGCACTGTCGTGGAGTAGAAACCTCCCCTACAGACTGGATAGCCAATGGCAACCTTGTTACCATTCATTATTATTTATAGCGTGATAGCTAAAAAGAAAGGTCTATAGTCAATTCATGGTTTTTTATTATACTGTCCATGTAAAATTTATGGACTTTTATATAAACTGAAGACGTCAATAATTTCTTACCTGAAATTTAAAGGTTTTATTGATTAGTTTAGTGTCACTAAGTATTCAATGGATTCTGTTCTTGAAGAGCTCTTTAGTAACAAATAACTTAATAAACTGCCCACCAAATGTTTTAGCTAAAGTGACATATAAAATGCTGTCATTAGCTGTTTAATTCTCATTGAACTTGATGCTGCATTAGGACTACACTGAGTGCAGGAAGAAGAGAGTCCCACCCAGAAGCACGGAGAGAGGCTTTCTCCCGTCCAAGGACCCAGACGCATTTTGTCATGTTCAGACAGTATAAAGCAGGGGTGGGCAAACTTTTTGACTCGAGGGCCACAATGGGTTCTTAAACTGGACCGGAGGACTGGAACAAAAGCATGGATGGAGTGTTTGTGTGAACTAATATAAATTCAAAGTAAACATCATTACATAAAAGGGTACGGTCTTTTTTTTTGTTTAGTTTTATTCATTTCAAACGGGCTGGATCCGGCCCGCGGGCCGTAGTTTGCCCACGGCTGGTATAAAGTCAGATGGAGTACAGGCAGTTTTATGCAAAGTTGCATGCATAAAACAAACATTATGTAAACATCTTCCAAGTGTTGTTATGAAATACTCATAACTTCGACTTTAAGCATGAAGTCAAGAGATCCAAACAGATAAGAAAAGGTTTCAAGGGAAGTCAGAGAAAGACAATGTTTCTGTGCCCACTCGGGGTCAACTGACACTGGCATTCTGTATGACCACAGGAAAAAATATCAAGAAGCCGCCGCCCAAGTCCTACCTGATCCACGCGGGTCTGGAGCCCCTGACATTCACTAATATGTTTCCCAGTTGGGAGCACAGAGAGGACATTGCTGAGATCACAGAAATGGTGAGCACACCCCTGCCCTGGGAGGGTGGGTCCCTGCCTGGTGGACTGTGGGTGGACTTTCCCGTGGGGAGAAGCATCCCATCGCATTTTCAAAGTGAGAACATGTCTTTTCCATTTACGACATGTTAACAAGTCTGTGTAGAATTAGCTTAGGAAGAAGAAAAGCCTAAGGAGAAATCAAAGTATTTTGGTAATTTTCTACACATAGTACTCCAATTAAAAAACTGAAAAGCAAAGGTGAATTTAATTACTTTAAAAATATCCACAAATAAAAGCTGGCATCTCTTCACTCTGTTAGCTAAAAATATGTTGCTTCTAAAGGGCCACACGGGGCACAACAAAGCTCGTGTTTCAGACATTGACCTTGTATTAAAAGAGATACAGAATAATTCTGAGATGCATTAACATATGCAGATAACTAAGTGAATGAATGTATTGTGGGTCACTCCTGATAACGTACTGCTCACTATCTCATTAATATTCTTTTATGAGACCACCTGGCTTTAGCACCTGAAGCGTTTATCAGAATCTCTATTGCCAAAACATATTGTGAACCAGAATGTTATTTCCATCTGCACAGAAAAAAGGAAGCTTCCTGCAAATATATTACATTTCTTAATTTCTGAGGTTTTTAACATTGCTAGCAACAGCAGTTCCAATAGTGTTTTGGCTTGGTGGGTAGTAGGCTGGTAGGTCTGTTTTGGTTTTCTTTCTGTGTAGAACTGTTTTTCTGGGAAGGGCGGGGATGGCATGAGTGCATTTTATAGGAGGTCTGAATAAATTTAAACAAGAAAAGTTCATTGCTGTTTAACAACGGAGGAAGCCTTTCATAGTGCAGGCATCACTGCCAATACTACCCTGTCTGTGGCCAAATGGACGTCATTACACAGGGAGGGCTCAGGCAGCCTGCTGTCCGACATAGTCAGTGAGAAGGCTCTGTTCAAGATAACTACGCGATCCACCAAGTTTCAACGCTCTAGAGAATAGGAGCACTGTCGCTGCAGTCTTTGTTCAAGGCCATAAATCATGGCCATTCTTTGTATTCACGCTCCATTACTGGTGCTGGTGGGGAACTGTGCAATGCCTTGTGCAGGCTGCAGGCTTTTGGCCAGTGAGCAGTTGGCTTCCCACATCAGCAAGTTGTAATAATAATGAGCATTCACTGAGAGCTTGGTCTGTGCAGGAACTGCTCCAAGCACTTTACATTGATTTCTCCTTTAATTACCACAACAGTCTATTAAGATTAATCATATTATTATCCCCATTTTTCCGATGAAGGAGCTGAGGCACAGAAACAGGAAGCAGCTTGCCCCTGGTCTTCGCCTCAGGCTGTCTCTGAAACCCGCCTCTTGACCACTAGTCTATACCAGATACTGCTGCACTGCTGGCCAGTGGTTTAAAAAAAAAAAAAATCCTGCCCTAGCTGGTTTGGCTCAGTGGATAGAGCATCGGCCTGTGGACTGAAGGGCCCCAGGTTCTATTTCGGTCAAGGGCACATGCTAAGTTATGGGCTCAATCCCTGGTAGGGGGCCTGCAGGAGGTAGCCAGTCAGTGATTCTCGCTCATTATTGATGTTTCTCTCTCTCTCCCTCCCTGACCCTTCTTCTCTGAAATCAATAAAAATATTTTTGAAATAAAAATATTATTTTTTAAAAAATCCTGATTCAACCACAGCATATTCTAGATGCATTTTCTTTCCTTCTTTTTCTATTGTGGATTAAGAAACAGAGCCTGGGGGGTGCGGGGGTGGGGAGGCGGGGCGGAGTGCGATTCCTTTCAAGGCTAGTTATTTTTAAATATTGTTCAGTAAGCATCATTTTTTGGATGCTTCTGGTGTTTAGGCTTCAAATTGAATAATCTTATGTGATAATTTACTCAAATGAAATTCCCTAAGCTTTTCTCTGATGCAGCTCTGAGACAGGATTTGTTGGGCCTTTGGTAGAACTAGGGGGCTTTGAACAATTTCTTTCCAATTTAGAGCCCTGTTTCTCCCCGAGGGAGGGTGTCCAGGCTGTCACACAGATCGGACAGGCTTGTGTGTCTGCAGGCATGTGATAGAGCGTGTTGAGATATGGGACACAGAATTTCTCTTTCCCCTCCTCTTCTCTAGGATACGGAAGTTTCCAATCAGATCACCCTTGTGGAGGACGTGTTAGCCAAGCTCTGTAAAACCATTTACCCCCTGGCTGATCTCCTGGCCAGGCCACTGCCTGAGGGAGTTGACCCTCTAAAGCTGGAGATTTATCTCACTGATGAGGACTTTGAGGTGAGTGTTCCTTCAGGTAGGCCAGTGGGTAAACCACATGCTGGGCTGGTACGGGAGGCCTCTTCCTCAGCACATGGGCATTTCTCTCGATTCTTCCAGTTTGCACTAGACATGACAAGAGAGGAATTCAGTGCACTGCCCGCCTGGAAGCAGGTGAACCTGAAGAAAGCCAAAGGTCTGTTCTGAGTGGAGAGATGCTGGTGGAACCTGTTGTCACTTTCAATACCATTGGACCAGGAAAATGGATATTTTTTTGGACAGGCATTTTAAAATATATTTTTTAATCAGAGATTTCAAAACCTGAAGTTATTAGCTCTACCACTAGTCCTGTAGCTGTGTATTTTGTAAATGTTTAAGAGAACTCTTCGGAACTCTCTCCCCGATTCAGCAGGGGATGGTAATAAAATCTGCGGTGCAGCTCAGCGTCGCTCCTCAGCAGAGCCACAGCACCGCCCCCTGTTCCAGCTCAGTGTTGCCGGTGTGTTTGAAGCAGTTCTCTTTATAAAGTGTTATTTTGATAGTTTATGGATTCTAAAATATATATATTTATATAAACACCATATAAATCAAATATGTATTTAACAAAGCAGTATGCATTCATTCACTTTTAAGATTTTTTGGGAGGTGTCAAAGTAGATGGAGTTGCTTCTGCCGAGACGTATCTTCACCTACGTATCTTCACCGTGTTCAGAAACGTCTTCTTCAGCATTACATTAGGTCTTACTTCTTCCGAGTGCTGCTTCCGGTGCTAAAACAGAAAATGTGCACATCCTGGCATGGAATCTGTGCAAGTTCACCTTTCTACCTTAATATCTCCTCAACATGTATAGTGCCTTGTTTTTATGTACAGTTTCTATACAGACAAGTTTGCTCTGCATTTTTTGATGATGGTTTGGAACATTACCTACAATTTTACTCTAAAATAGTAGAAATAAAAAAACCTTAATTTCTAATGCCTGTTGTTAACATTAAACATGTCATTTTGCAATCTAGGTCTCCAAAATAAAAGCTTCAGAATAAACACAGCAATTAACTGATTGGTTCACACTGAATTCTAAGCATGTTCCTTTCTGAAAAAATATGTTTTTTGCAAATGTTAACCTAGTACCAATAGTCCATCATTAAACAGTATTTGCTCTTTTAATTGCGGTTAGAGCAAGATTTTATACAAGGTCATAAGACTAAATAGACAGATATTCCACTCATAAAATTAGTTATAAGTACTACTTATTGGCATATTTTTGTAAATCATCCTTTAACAGAAGCTCTTTACCTACAACTATATCTACATCTCAAATTCAGGATCTCTGTGCCTTTTCAAATATTGAATATATAAGGCATTTAGAAAACTTAAAAATGATCCAGAAAACTCTTCACAGGCTCTTATGTTATTAAAATCCTAGGTCCATAGTTTGAACAAATTCTATAGACCTACTGTAAGTTGCTCCTGCTCCTGCTTTGGTTCAAGTTTAACATGTTGGATAGCATTTGCCTTAAACATGGTCACTTACCTGTGTGCTCCCACCATGGGACCGTAACCCCTCCTGGTCCCACCACCTTAAGACTATGTGATACTGAGCAATCACTGATGTATTCTACCTACAATTCCTTTAAAAAAATAAAATAAAGGAATCAATATCAGCTTTCCTGACCACATCACAAGACTGATGCTTGGTGAGGATCAAGTGGAAGCTCCTTAAATATTGTCAAATCCTAGGTACCTGCTGGCATTATTATTATTGTTGTTACTGTAGCTGGCATAGGGAAGATGAAAATTAAGGAATGGAGTCACACACTTAGAAATTATAGATTAAACCAAAATGAGTGGGCTCTTCCAAAGAAATAAATGTAGGAGAGAAAGGAGCTCAAGAGTATAGGCCCCATGGGTAGTAAGCAATGGGAAACAGAGAAGGACTCAAAGAGCCAGAAGGATGACCAGTGGAATGTGGAAAAGAGAAGCAGGGCCCCGGCCTGGTGTCTCAGTTGATTGGAGAATTGTCCCATTTACCAAAAACATTGCAGGCTCAATTTCTGGTCAGGGCACATACCTAGGCTGTGGGTTTGATCCCCAATCAGAGCACATGTGAGAGGCAACCAGCCGATAGATATTTCTCTCTCCCCTTCTCTTCTCTTCTCTTCTCTTCTCTTCGCTTCTCTTCTCTTCTCTTCTCTTCTCTTCTCTTCTCTTCTCTTCTTTCTCTCTCTCTCTCTCTCTCTCTCTCTCTCTCTCTCTCTCTCTCTCTCTCTCTCTCCAATAAGCATATCTTCAAGTGAGGAATAAAAAAAAAGAGGAGGCAGGGTTGCCTATGTCAGTTCAAAGAGGTCACCTGGATCCGTATATGCATGGAAAGGGACTCAGGTTGCTATAAGACTCTTATAAGAGCTTCCATTAGAGAGCTTGCCATCGATATAGATAAGTGTCATCAGCAATATGCATCACCACCAAGTGTTTTCAAATTGTGTATGTCAACTTGTATTAAACATTGTCCCCCAGTGCTGTTTGTCAGTGTGCTTCCTGCCTCTTCTCTAGAAATAGGGCTCCCCATCTTGCATTGCCAGTTCACCACCTGCCTCTTTGCCTCTGTGGTGTCCCCATGTCTCTTTCCTGCTTACAGAAGTAGATCCTCTCTTAGGTGGTTTTTCTGATCCCTTTCCATTCATAGCTGTGACTTGACCTTTGCATACTGAGAAAGGACCCCGGCTAAAAACTAGAATTGCTGAATCTGAACAACCTGGCCAAGGACGCTACACCGGTGCTGCGTGCCGCTCTCCAGAGCCTCTTAGAAAGCAAACCTCCCTGGTGAGCTTTTATTAAACACAGCAGAGTCAGGCAATTGGTGCTTCCATGACTTGATGCTTTTGAGCTAAAGGGCTTTACAGAGGGGCTCTGATGTTTGGGTTGGGATTGATAGCGGAGCTGCAGTGGGACAGATGAGAGATCGTGTGTGTTCCAAGGCTTGGAAGGAACCATGTGAATGTGAGCAGTTTCCAGAGTAGTGGAACTGTGGTACCTACTTGTTCCTGGTGGGCAGTGCCCAGACCAGGGAAAGCCTGCTCAGGAGACCACTTCTTTCTCTCCTTATTTTAGAACTTCATCCCCACTCATAGAGCTCCCATTTTGGTAAAAGATGCATTTCAGAAAATCCATTTGGTCCTTTACTTTTGTTGTTTTTCTTTATTTCTGATTATAAAAGTAACACTGTGTCTACATAGACTTGTGTATGAATGTTCACAGCACCTTATTCATAATAGCCCAAACCTGTAAGCAACCACGTATCCATCAACTGACAAATGGATAAACAAAATGTGGTACACTGTACAACAAATTACCCAACAGTTAACAGGGTGGGGAACCTTTTTTCTGCCAAGTGCCACTTGGATATTTACAACATCATTTGCGGTTCCTACAAAATTATCAACTTAAAAATTAGCCTGCTAACCCTGGCTGGTTTGTTCAGTGATTAAAGCAGACTGAAGGGTCCTGAGCTCCATTAAAGCAGACTGAAGGATCCCGGGTTCCAAGGGCAAGTACCTCGGTGGTAGGCTTGATCCCCGCCCTGGTCCAGGCACGTGCGAGAGGCAACCAATAGATGTATCTCTCTCACATCAATGTTTCTCTCTCTGTCTCTCCCCTTCCCTTCCACTCTCTCTAAAAAAAAAAAAAAAAAAAAAAAAGATGGAAAAAATATCCTCGGGTGAGGATTAACCAAAAACAACAAAAATGTAGCCAGCTAAATTTGGTCAAATATCTAATTAACTCACTCACCCCTAATGCCTTGGCAAGGCCAGACCAAATGATTTCACAGGCCTCATACAGCGCTCAAGCCAGGCATTTCCCACCCCTGAGTTAAAGGGGCAAACTACTGATACTGCAACATGGATAAGCCTCAGAAAGTGAGAGAAGCCAGACACCGAGGGCCACATATTCTCTTTCGTTTATAGTCCTCCCCCTTTATCTGTGGTTTGACTTTCTGCAGTTCCAGCCATCTGTGATCAACTGTTGCCCAAAAGTATTAAATGGAAAATTCTTGAAATAAACATAAGTTTTAAACTGTGCACAGTTCTGAGTGGTGTAATGGTATCTTGTGCCGTCCGTCCTGCGCAGTCCCACCCAGGACATGGGACACGGGTCATCCCTTTGTACAGTGTCTCCATGCTGTAGATGCTCCCCAACCCTTAGTCAGTTAGGACCCATCTGGGTGGACAGACTGGTTATCAGAAGAGAGAGACCACATTCACATAACTTATTACAGCATGTTGTTATAATGTTCTATTATTAATTATTGTTAATCTCTTACTGTGCCTAATTCATAAATTAAACTTTGTCATAAGAAGTATGTATAGGAAAAAACAGGATACATAGGCTTCAGTGCTATCTGCAGTCTAAGGCATCCACGTGGGGGGCAGGGGGGGGTGTCTTAGAATGCATTTCTGATAGATAAGGGGAAGTTTCCAGAAAAGGCTAATTTATTCAGACAGCAGGTCAGGGTGACTGGAGGTGGAGGTGGGAAGGAAGGTTGATTTCAGGGAACTTTTAGGGGAGATGGAAATTGTCCTAAAACTGGATTGTGGTGATGGTTGCACAATTATGTAAAAGTACTAAAACTTACTGAATTGTGCAGAGGCATATTTTATGGCATGTTTATTATACCCCAAGAAAGCTGTTTTAAAAAAATAGTAACACTGATCTATGTGAAAAATGCAAACATTAGCATTATAAGGATAAATAAATTAGGAATTGAAAATCATAGATATTGCTGCTCTTAAAGAAATAATTATCCATGAAACTTGTTAAGACAGTAAGGCTGAGCCCTGGCTGGTGTGGTCAGTGGTTAGAACATTGACCTGTCCACTGAAGGGTTGTGGGTTCGATTCCCAGTAAAGGGCACATACCTGGGTTGCAAGTTTGATCCCCGGCCCTGGTGGGAGCACATTTGAGAGGCAACCAATCAATGTGTCTCTCCCACATTGATGTTTCTCTCTCTCTCTCTCTCTCTCTCTCTCTCTCTCTCTCTCTCTCTCTCTCTCTCTCTCCTTTCCTTTCCTTTCTCCCTCCCTCACTCCTTTATACTCTCTCTAAAAATCAATGGAAAAAATACCCTCAGGAGAGGATTAACAATAACAAAGAGACAGTAAGGCTGACTTTATTAAGGGCTATTGCTATAGGACCACTGCAATGAGGGTTTGCTCTAAGGGAAAGAAATTGGGTTCAATTAGGAATAGACAATGGAAAGTGGGAGTTTATAGCCAAAGAGCAGAGGGAGTGGTGGTCAGTGGATGGAAAATTAGTAAGAGGAAACATCAGGACGAGGGTAAGGAGGGATTTAACTCAGGCAGATCTTGGGGCTCAGACATCAGCTGGGCACCGGTGCAGGATGTGGACCCTGACCAGATAGAAGGGTGATCAGGTGTCAAGGGTGGGGGAGCTGGCCTAACGTACTTGACAAGATTCGCACTAAAAATGGGCTCTTGAAGGACATGCCCAAGCACAGGGCCTAGTCAGGCTCAGAGAAGTCTGACTAAAGTTTGATCAAGGAGAGTGTCTCTGTCATCACTTCCCAAGACAAGGACTTCAATAATTGGATTAATGTTCTAGAGTTTTCTTTACATCAACTAATGTAGAGATGCATGCTCATATATTTTTGAAGAGAAAAATTGATTTGTTTACAGCATCTTAATTTTCCTATTAGTAGGGCTCAGACACCAGTCCTTGGGTGTTTATCTGTGTGTGTGTGAGGTTCTGAGGTCACGTGGGACAGTGTGGCGGCTAAATCACCAACCTCCCCCCCACCCCCGGGGCGGGTCCACATTTCTCACAGGGTGGGCAGCATCTCTCCTGGGCCCAGAAAGAGGGTTGGAGATATGTTTTTACAGGCCTTTCTTTATATCAGGTCCAGAGTTAAGGGCCATAATTCTCAAAGCAGGCCTCCATACATAGCCTTTCTGGACAGCAGGATAGTGGGTAGGGGTCAAGGGGACAATAACAAGTCAGAGAGCAAGGTAATGATTCAAATGCAAATAATGTAAAGTTGACTATATTGGTGTGTCATTT